AGTCTAGAATGTATAATTGCTTAAGGTATGCATTAAATTATAATAAAATAAAATAAATTTTGGGACCTGGAGGGTACAGTGAATGGCCACAGTAAYTAACGCATTCTGAGGTCAAGCATCGGCTGACGTAGCTAACTCCCGGATGGGTTATCGTCCGGGCTTTTAGTAACGAAACTTCGCCCCATATACACGTATTCCAAACCAACCGTACCCTCCCCTACTGTAAAAAAACTGACTAATAGCCTCAGATATTAAAGCCTTTTTACTCAATAAAATACATAAAATAAAATTACATAATAATATATCATACATTTATTATTATTTTATTAAGTCTAAATAGTTTCCGTTATTATAAGAATCGCATCGCGTTATTTTTTTAATGGATTTAAATTTTTTAATTCTATTTCAGTTAAACAATCTATAATAAGCTGAAATGTTATTAATCAAGTTTAGCTAAGTATCTTATGTGAAGAGGCCAACTAAAATAATATTAGGTAGTTATTACTTTTCCCATAGAGGTATGAATAATATTGCCAATTTTATAGAATACTGAGACACCGTAATCTGTCAGAAAATGTCTGATACAATCACATTACAAATAATTTTATAGATTTTAAGATTTAGAATAATTTATWATTTCCTAAAAAATGTTTAACAGCTAGCGTATAAATGCAATAATTCGTATTCTTACCTCCAGCTGATTTAATACCCGGTCCACAGGTTATTGAAGTGTATGCCAAATTAACGAATAATGATATCGACATCAGTGTTATCCATGGCGGTCTTGGAGGCCACCAACTGTGTCGGTGACTTCTTATATACTGTCGTCCCCCCATGTTTACATCTCCATTACCATAAATGTATTGTTGCGTTCAGTAAAACCTGCAATAAATAATAAATTACATTTAAAAAAAAAAAAAAAATGATAAATTTGACTTATTACAATATTCGAGAAATCTGTGTCTACACAGAACGAAATGTTTACAAAATACAAAGRCAACTACAATATTTATATTAAATATATTTACGAACCAATGAGTTAATTATAGCTAATAACCCATTCAATAATTGTTTAAAAAAACGTCTGCCATGTTAATATATACATATATCAATGTACAAGATCCACGAGGACTATCAATTTAATTTTAATCATAAAGTATTTACTTCAAACATCCTTCCACCGAGTTACGTCTAAACACAATAAATGTATATGTATATATTTACAATATAATATATACGTTAAATAGTTGAATGAGAAATGTTATTATATAAATAATCCTTTAGCCTTTTTGATTTATCAATAAACAAAGCAAGTTAAAGCATGGTTTGTTAAATTAATTTATAACTATGTTAATTAATAACTTTATACCCACATTTCTTTTATAACTAATTGTCTTTTAATTATCTACCTTTGAAATATTACYCAACATTTTCAGACATAATAATTTTAACCAACTTTTGGACTCAGTTTTAGTTTTTAATTGCTATCTAGTGTGTTATTACTTACTATATACGATTTAAAAAAAGAAAAAGAAAAATAAATAATAAAATACTGCAACTATAATACCTACCTATTAACATAGGTCATATATAAGTATATTGTAATATTTTATAACGGATGTCCGACTTTATGCGGAGGGTCAACACGTCACGTTGACGTTAAAACTCCACTGTCGTAAAAAGTCCGTCACGTATTTATGTTTAATGAATCGCAAAGTATAGTTGAATGCCATTCCGACTTTTAAAAGTTTTCTTGGAGGATTTATCACGAAGTAGTAAAAACATAACAAGCGGCATAGTTGTAAAAATGTAATCAAAGCGACAGGCTTGTGAGAACAGCTATTGTAGTTTTGGTAATAACATATTATGTTGGTGGCATGTATATATGTCCTACACAAATATCGGGTACTGTATTTTATGATTTCCAAGTCTGATAGTTTGACGTTTATTTACTATTAACAATAAATTAATCTAAACCACCAATGTACGTAGATATTATATTRAAATTTGTGACAATCCAACCAAATTGAAAAGTAAATGTATGTAAACAACTACAATTCACAAGTAAATTAATAACGTCAGTATACATATACCTACACGGTTTGTGTAAACTACCACTCGTAAATTAATTTTTTTTTTTAGTAATCAAATCATTTATTCGCCACAATATTATGTAGCTATAGTAAATTGTATAATATCTATGAATTATAACCGTACAACGAATAATTTAATAACTAAGACATCAAGTATTCAATAGGGTCATTAATCTATAAACGCTGTACCAATAAAAAAAACATAATATTATACTTTAAAAAGTGTACAATTTTCAATAATATTAACATATAATTTGATTTAATCGTTCAGAGACGATTAATATTTCACTTATGCTAAGGTCGGTTACATTGATACACTTTCGATTACAAACAAACAAATTAACCCATGTTCAAAATGACAAGACAATTCCTCCTCAAACAAATCATATTTCATAGACGTATATATCATATTTATAATTGCAGTGCGCCAATCAATATAACACATTGTATTCTATTAATTTTCATAATTATGTATGATTTGAATGGAATTTAAACTTGACTTTTTTCGTGTGGATAAAAGGGCGACAAATAATGCTTATTATTATTGAACTGATTTAAGTAGATTTGATTTTATCTTGTATTATAAATTTATAATATTAAAACAAAAACTAACAACAATTAATATTTAGCTTGGTAAAACATTTTTAATTTTTAATTTTTCAACTCAGCAAGCATTGAGATAGATTTACTTTTGCAATAGCTATTACACGAGAAGTCTTATCGACTATATTATCGTATATTTGTCCGTACACTATACCATCCCGAGGACACGTGTATTGCAATATAATAATATATAATAAGCTAAATAATAATATAATAAGTATATGTAGTTGTTGTGTACAGTATGCCAATTATGTATTGGCTTGTAGCTTATGTTATTTTTTAACGTTTTAAATATTCACTTTTAAAACTATAGATAACATTAGTTTATTTAATAATTCGTTCAGTTTTCATAAATTTATATAACCTATAAATAAAAAAAAAACGAGATCAAAATGAAAAACGACATCACGAAATACCTAACAAATTATTTATAACACTTAACTACGTTGAGAACAATGAGAACAATTCAACTTTTATTTAAAAATGTATCCAAATATTTACAGAAATCAATACTGCGATCATCAGTCCATGTGTTATTTAACAAATTTAGGAAGTAAATACATTATCCCCACCCATACCTAAATTATGAAATTTAAAAAATAAAAAAATGCATGGCTATGTTTTTTAGTGGCGGTCCTTGATCAATTCGGGGGGGGGGGGCAAATATTTTTCACATTAAATACAATATGTACTCAAAAATAGGAGGCATAAAAAAATTTATTTTATGTAATAATTTTATATTTTATATTTAAATATAACACACTAGGTACAAAGATATACTTTTGTCATTTGTGCCCTTAAAAATTGATTCATTAGAAATATCTACACAAGAAAATTATTATAATAGTACCTACCTGTWAATCTTTTTTTCCAAAAGTAGATTTTTTCCAAACTCTTCATCAGTATTTAGTCTTAAAACACATAGGTCTAATATTATATACCAAACGTAAAAATATTGATATAATATAATATGCAAATGTCGCATAATATCAACACATTAGGTTAAGATTCAAATTTGTGTCTTACCTAGCTACTTTTTAATTTAATAAATAAAAATATGCAAATGCATACAATAACGGGACTAAGTAATAAATTAAACAATACTATACAGAATATAATCATCATAATATTGTACAGTAGGTATGCTAATAATTAAAATTTCAGTAACATATAATATACATTATACAACGTAATTACCTATCAATTTAATGTTTGTACCTCAAGTAACATTTTTATGAAGGTAGGTAACCTATTCATTTTCATTATTTTGAACATCAAAGCTTAATTTAAAAAAATATTTATGTATTTACAATATTTTGTTAATTGGTCTAAGAAAAACAAGGAACCTTGTATCATAGTAGTTTTTATCAAACTACGAAAAATAAAGTAATACGATATCTAGACATGGAAAAACATAAAAGTTAAATGTCAACAAGAAAACAATGCCATACGATTTCAAGTAAAAATCTTTTAATAAAAACGAATCTAAGTCAAAAATATAGGTATTTGTTGTACAGAATTATATTTAAAATTTGTAATACTTACATTTATTATTTGAATATTCAAATAATGCTTATAAAGTATATTATAACTCATAACTAATATTTAAAATTTTTCTGAGGCATATTATAGCGCATATTTTACATACTTTTTAAGGCATATATTTATAGTGCTAAAGTCTCGAGTTCGCTTTTAAGTCAATACCCAAGTATCATAATATAGAACGATGTAAATAGGTTCGTGGTATAAATAACTTAAAATAAGATTAAAATATTTAAAAAAAATACGATTTCTCTCGTTAWMAAAWAATTTATATAGAGGTATATAAATCAAGTTTGGTTTGAATAATTAAAATAATATTTTTTTTTACAAATTATNTAGAATTCATAAAAAAATCAATTTTGTTTTAATAATCTAAAATTTAATAAAGTGCACAATCAAAATTCAATAACCCTTTAAACTGTATTATGAAAATAATATGTGTGTATACTGTATAAGCATAAGGGTTTTGAATTTTWATCGGGTAACATAATTGCTATTTTACAGTCCTCAAAAAAAAATAATAATTTGAATTTTTAACATAAAGAATAATTATTATTATAGTACAATTCAATAAAAAATAACCTAATGGAAAACATTATTCATAAATTATTATTATTRAATCGTAYACGTACATTAGATTTAAATGTACGGCAAATAAAAATAATAATACCTATCCCATTATTCTGCAAATAAAATATCTTAGTGCGACAAGTGCCAAAACCTTAGTTTATGTACCCTACCTATACAGCTTAATATTTTTGTAAAAATGTGCAGATACTTAATTCAT